ACGCGAGAGAAAGCAAGCCACTACCAACAGCAGCGTGTAAAAACAGGTCATGCAAGTTTCTAATAAGTAAATATTCCTTCTAATCCAGAGAAGAAAATTTGCACTCTCAAAAAACGGTAACGCTGTTGTTGAGAACACGCCGTTGTTGATTCAGACACTTGAATCCGGAATTTATTATCTGTCAGGTTCCATTGCGTGGGGAATGGAAAGGGTGCTGAAAATATATGCTGGTCGTTTTACGCTTAACGGTCTCTTGATGTCCAGTTTGCAATTTAATGGGAGTTGTTACGAAATGGAAACCTAGTTTATTTTTGAAACATTACTCGTGACTTAAAATATTTCTGAAATGAATGTCAGTTTTCATTTCGTAACCGAAGGTCGCTGATATGAACGGATTCGGATCAAGTAGAAATGTAGGGGTGAATTTGAGTTCAACTTGCTTGGTATTCTTACATGGGAAACGTTATGTCGTAGAAAGTCGCCTTCGTGCAGAATCACAAGCGTGACTTCTCCATGTAACAACGGCAATGCTTGGCTGCCCACATGCCGCACTCGATATTCCATTACGTTCTTATAAAACACGGCCTACTAAATATTTCCTATCTGTACAATTTTCAATGACAAGTTTCAGAATGAACTTCAAGGTTGAAGGTTTCCAGCAGCTATTATGTTGGACACTTTACCAAATTATGTAAACCTTAATCGGAAAAACCGAAAAGTCTCATTTTTTACCCCTCAGTCAAACCGTCTCATATTTCAAACTGGTCGCAACGCTAAAGCAATTGTTAAAATGAGTCAGGGAATCATGGAGGACAGACTGTGTAAATATTTCACTGACACTTGTGGCTAGATAAATGTGTCGAGTGGACTCTCATCAGCCCAAGTGTGCAAATTAACAATGAATCAATTTGAGTACTCGGTTTGGGAGAAAGTGCTACGAACAATGACGCCTCCCGAGCCTTGCTATGCATAAGCGGCGTTGCAAGCATATCATGGCTCGTAGCAGTAATACACATGACAATGACTTGTTGTCATCAAGCTAACCGTTCGTTACCTCAGTTTCGCGTGCAAAAGTTAAAAATTGTCACGATTTAAAACCAGACTCTCAAGATGCAAATGATCCTCGTAGCGGGAGGGTAAGTCCTTCGTGATTGTCATAATTCCTGCTTACTCGACAACTACAACTGCTTACCAAGAACAATGTATACCTCCCACTGCAACCAACCGTGTACCTAAATATTTCTGTACAATTATATACGTACGAAACGCTTGACGCACTGCAACCATAATCACCCAGCAATAATAAATCAGCCCATAAAGTATTTTATCTTTTTATACTATTTATCATTTCGTAGCTATATAACTTGCTCGGCCGGGTGATCGATTGCCAATCAAATTGAGCCTCAAGATATTGGCAAATGTCGCAAAAGCCGACTGATTAGTTGTTGGTGTGACAAATGGTGGTAAAGCAGAAGAAGAAGGAGGAAGTCAAGTCGGCTAAATGGGTTTGCATATCGTTCTTTGACAGCTGGATTGGGACAACGCCGGTATATGTACATTGGTTCGTTCGTATTATATCTCGCCGCCGCCGCTTCTCTCTCCCACCGCCACCGTGGAATTACCTTGGCCTTGTTTCCCCTTCGGAATAATAAATCTCGACTTTCTTCGATAGGCTGGAACATAAAAATAAAATCAGACCAGTTGGAAACATGGAGTGGATCTTCTTCGCTTGCTGCTACTCATGTTTTCAGAAAGCGGCTCCTTCCATCACTTCTTCTTGAGCCGTATGTGTGCGTATGTATCTCTGCCGATCAATTCGTATCTGGCCAAGTCTCAGTGTGGAATTTCATTGCAATAAACAAACTGCTTCTCAATCTCGCTTTCTCTTTCTTCCACTTTTCCCTCTCTCCTTTGCGCTCTTCATCTCAAACCTGAGTCGAGATTTCTACCAAATTCCATTTTATCTCTCTTGTGGACACCAGCAGAACGCAGATTTTGAGCGAGTGTCGGTGTAGATCTGCTTTCCTTCGAATTTGCGGGTTTTTCATCCTTTTTCTGAGAAAAATGTAGAAAACTGAATTTCACTTGACAGCCAGCACTGCTGTGACATTCATTAGTTCGACTCGAGGCATCTGACAGAATAGAATAGAACAAAGCACTTATATTTCCTACATCGGGAGAGATTTGATCGATCCCATTTTACCCTAAATCTCGACAATCTTAAGTCAATATTCAAACTATGAAAATCAAATCTAATGGGCATGACACGACATGAAAATGGGTATAACGGCTAAATTACTAAATTAGATTAATTCATATTTAATTGTCACGTTATGAAGTTATGCTTGAAGAGGAATAAATGTCCTCTTTCACAAAGATATGCTCAACATAGGGAAGGGGAAACTTTTTTCCAAAGGATTCCACCACAAACAGATTTTATACTTATGCTTAGTGGGGTCTCAACAACTTTTCTAGTTTCTGGCTTGTCGACTGGTTTGTAGGAAGGAAGTCATCAGATTGGAAAAGTTTGAAAGGACTTTGTACGAGAACTCTTTAGTCTTCAAAAGGCTACACAAGGTCGATGGTGAAAATTTCTTTGGACAATATTTCCCATTTCCAACTCTTCTTCACGGTTGGGAAACATTATCAGTGTTTTCATAAATTTTGACGCAGAATAGAATACAAAACATCGTAGTAGAGATTTTTTCTGCAGATATTTTGAATGATTTTGCTCCTTAACCAAATCAGCTACTTGCGAGTGCGTCCAGTCTCAAAGAAGAAGAAAAAAACTATTCTCTGTACTTCAAAGGAGAAAGAAACTTTAAGAATAAAATAAATGAGACGAAAGATTATGAATATCCCGTCCTTTGTTGCGAAACTGACTCAACATGGTTCTTCCCCCGGTATTAACTCGGTGGGTACTTTCGTGTAACTTTCATAACCGAGAAAGAGAGAAGGGGAAAAAGAGGAAACGTGACTTGCATAACCCAACTTGAGCCAAGACGCTGAGCAATATTTTTTATAGCGAGGACACACAAACCAAATAAGACATCTCGCATCCCGTGGGAATAGGAATCAAAAGTAACGTCGTGATTTTGCCTTCACTGGGAAAAAGTAGACAAGAAGAGTAATACTTTTCTCCTCCTTTGGTCAAAACCAACTTTCTTCAACTCGACCAAGGTTGTCCATTGTTATGACATACACTTTTCCAGGATATGTCACAGTTTAGCATCACTCAACAAATCATGGAGATGATGGAAAAAGATTAGTATTTTGTGTCAATTAATTACGTTCTAATAGAAATGTAGGGTTTTTAAGGGGTGAAATTTTGCACTTGGTGATAACTTTTAAACAAGTTTTTCTTTAACGCGGTGGGTGTCTTCCTCACACTTTTTCCTTACTCGATACAGTCTTTCCTTTATTGCAAAACTAATAATCTCGTTTGAAAGATAGTAAATAAATTGGCATTGTTTCCTCCTCAAAAGATGAGATAAGCCCCGAGAAGACGCAGTACAAAATTGGCTAATATGATGAAATTTGTTTGTGTCTCATGGGTCGCTGGCCGTGATCATTAAGGTACAGGATCAAACCAAAACTGATTATAAACGTGGATTGCGTGCCATAATACTGTCGTGTCGTCGTGCGGTCTCTCCATCGTCTGAATCTCATTTGCTACCCAGGACACATGCAGGAAAGTGTTGAATCTTGAGAAAAATATTGAAATCCTTCCTTGCGAACGACTTCATCCAAGGCTACCACTCGCTCCTACTGGGTTGTTCTTTTGCGCAAAAAATAAAGTCACAAATGTGCAGTGGGACACTAGTTGTGAAGGAAAGTAGTTTTATAGAGCCACGCTCAACTTGGTGCAGAGTGCTTGTTGTGTCTCATGTGTGTGTGTGAAAAACGATTAGTACACATACTCAAAGTCTTAAAATTATTATGGCAATAAATCAAAGCTACATGGGGTCGCTGTGAGTGTAAACCATGAGGAGAAAGAAGAGGAGAGAAATGTAACATCATCAACGACATGTGTAGGTTTTGAGAAAGGGTGCAATCCTATCGTATCGTACACTCACATGTCGTTGAGACTTTTCCCAATGCGAGTCTAACTGATACATGTTAAATAATATAAAAATACGTTTTTTTTCGCAAACGACATCAAAGCAAAAATTCCGAGTGGAAAGTGGATTTTTTGGGATAAGTGACTTTCAAATATTTATAGCGTTTGTCGCAGAGCAGAGACGACTCTTGCCCTTTCTTTCTGCAGGCAGTGCATAGTGGTGTGAAGATTGGTCCTCCCTCGAGTGGCCCACTTCATGGAAGTACATCCAATATGTAATATTCATGCGCTTAAAACTTACGAGTCGAGATAACAATGACACCTTGGCACAAACGAGATCCAGTCGTGCAGTACATGAGAAACTCATTGGCTTACTTAGCAACCTTTCTGTGGGTCTGGTAATTGGAGGCTTGAAAGAAAACATGACTCTGGCAAAAAAAGAGAAGCGATCGAGGCGTCTGCTGATTGCGGTGTTGCTTGTTTTTTCCTCCGGTTTTATTACTATCTGGACAATATGATTGTTTTGAATGATGACAACGACCACTGGAGAAGATCTGCAGCGGTTGGTGGGACGACTACTTGGGTGGACATATTGTGTCGTGGGTGTGTTCAAAAGCACAAGGACCAAGGGCCCAGCCATGAGTGGTGCTGGTTGGTGGTGGTGCATTATTACTTGGAGAGGAGGACCATCATCATCACCACCCGTACTACATACACGGCTGCTACGACGACCATGCTTTCTCTCTGTGTCGGCGGCCGCGGCTGTGGCGGAGGATAAGTGGGGATCAGGAATGAGAGTGAAGCCAAGTGGCCGGAGTAGTAGTTGTATCTCCGGGTGAGTATCCAGAGCTGGAGACGGCATGAAAATGCGCTTGCCAAAAGTTCTTCTCTTTCTCTCTCTCACTCTCCATCGCTTTACGAAGCGGTTGCTATTGCAAAATCTTGTGAGTTCTTTATTCACGCTTGTTGTGGCCACATCTCTCTCTCCTCTCCTCCTCCTCCACCTCCTCCTTCTTCTACTACTTCTTCTAAATACGGACGAAATGTGGGCAACATTATATTGAAAATTTACAATTGAGCCCAGGAGTTTTTGGAGAAATCCTCACGCAATTGTTTGCCCTCTCTCTCTCTTTCGCGCTATTATCCCCTTATCTCGGCCAACATGTTCCAATAACCTCACACACACACGTCATCGCATTAACAGACTAACTCCCTGGCTACCTACACAGATCTAGAAGCATTGGCTGGCCCGTCCATCTTTTACTTTCTTCCCTGATTTTGATCCAGCTCCAAAAAGTCGCGTTTGTAAATACTTCGCACCCTTCGTCTTGTTCTTCTCTCGAGGGAGAGAGATGCTGGTTAGTGAGTGAGTCAGTGAGAGCAGCGAACAGGTTACTTACTATTAGAAGCAGCAGAAGAAGAAGCGAGGGGCAGCCGCTGCCAACAACTAAAACTCTTTATTTCATGGATGGTGGTGGTGGTGAAAACTTCTCGGAGAGCTAATGGCTGACTTATCTCGTCCGTGGGCATTATTTATTTGAGAAAGTAACAAGCTTTCTCCTTCTCTGGGTACTTTCTACTTCCAATCACTATCACATACTCGACCACAAAGGAAGCAGCTCTTTTTTTGTACTGCTGTTTGGTTTAGCTCTCTCTGATTGTTGTGAAGGCCTTGGGGCAATTAGGAATACGGGGTTGAGAAAGTGGAGAAAGTATGTGAGCACCTGAAGTGGATTTGATTCGGATTTTGGAAATTCATCCAGATACAGAAACGTGCAAATCTTGTCGTGGAGAGGACGACGAAGGAACTGCAAGGGTTGTGTTGCTGAGAAGGAAGGGACACAATGGGCACCAGGTAGACGCTGGTTGGTGAACAATGGGAAAGTGTGAGGAGGACATGAGCAGAATTTGTTCAATGCCTCCACCGGTGGTGGTGGTGGTGGAATTTGATTGAACGGACTTCCTTCCCATTGTGAGAAAGGTTGCTCGGATAGTAAAAGGCCATTTGGTCCGCCATAAATTAACCGGGTGCTTGGATTGAGCCGCCTTCGATGTTCCTCAAGTTTTCAGACAGAGTGTTTGGGTGAATCTTGCGCCAACCAACTGCTGACTCTTCTCGTCTTCTTTCTGCTTGACAAATCGTGTGATGCTCGCTTTCACTCTGAAATTTCGCCTCGCAAAGGAAGCCAGGAGCTTGAGCAGTGCACAAGACCAGAAGACGGACCACCACTTGGCTAACTTGTTGTTTATTGTCCTCCTCATCGTCGTCCTCCTGCTGCTGCCTGAATTTGAATGTAAAACAACATCTGTCAACCAAAAAGGCGAAGGGCTGAATTTCATCAGTGCAGTTTCTTATCCCATTTCCAGCCCCACACCACTTTCTGTCATCCAATAACCGAGCGAATAAGTCGGCCTCGCTCCTCTGCTTCTGTACTTCTCTCTCTCAAAACTAACAATTGGTGACATTTGAGAAGAAATAAGTGCTGTGCCCCAGTTGTTCCTTTCCCTTTTTTCCGCATATTCTCCCATCCTCTATCCTATCCCAGTCCGTCTTGAGTGACTCCACCGTGCACAAGATAGCCTAGGCTGGTCTGGTCGCACATTATGGCGCATTGTACATCTGTACCTCAGTCATTTAAGTTGATGTGTTTTACGAGTCGGGTTGATACAAGGATTTCACTTATTCACTCGGAGAGAATCTCGAGAGTGCGTTAATTTTTTTTAGCGTGGAAGCAATTACATGTGGCTCATCCATCATCATCTGCAAACTCTTTGTTCTCCACTTTTCATTCCATTTATCCTCCTCTCGCCCATCCGGCTCATTTCAGACACAATGCGGCTTGTCTGAAATCTGCCCCAGTAAATCGAACGGCTATTGGACGACGTGTATTGTAAGCTGTGAGAGAGAGAGGGAGAGCTAATTTGGTGTTGAATGTTAATGGAATGTCGTGCCTCCGTATGCAAGCAAGTAGTAGAAGGAAGTTGTGACTGAAAAGATGCAGAGTGGAACCATATTCCGACTCACTGTTGGCCAACGTGCTCATGACATTTGTTATAAAGCTCACCGTCGTGCCGTGACATGATTGCTTCGACTACTACCATTGGCATTTAGGAGGGACGACTCTGCCGAGGTAGGCAATTTGGCAGATATACCCGGTGTAGTGCTCCACCGTCGTCTCAAATTAAACAAAAGTTGGGACTCGCACTGTTTGGTGAACTGCATGCAAGGAGTTAAAGGTCATTAAGCAAATCTGGGCAGTCATTGTTTGGATACCGTGGCGTGGTGGTGGTGGTGGTGCGGCTTGTGAAGGTGGAAAATATTCCCAGTGAATCCTGAAGCCAAGTGAAAGTTCGTCTCCAAAGATTAAGTGACACACACCACGTGAAACATTCTTCTCTCTTTGTCCACCCACCACTGAACTATTGCTCAGACTTTTTAAAAAACCGTAGTGAAAAATTACTCAAACTTTGAGACGAAACCATAACAAAATCTGACTTGACAAACATTACTTAAAGATACATTTGTCGTTGTTATTTTACCGTTAATAGTCGCTGGCATACTATGAAACAGCACGTCACATAGCTCCGCTCCCTCATCCAACCATCCCTTCATGAGGACGGATGGATATGGTAATGGCCAACATGTGTTCACCATAGGCGTCCTTCTGCTGCATGAGTTTGTGACACTTTCTCCTATCTCTGCCGCCAAGGACCACCCGACATCGGATACTGGCCACCACACTTTCTCTCATTCCGTGTCCACTCCTCTCCCCACTCACTCCTCCGCCTCCTCCCTCTTTTTGCAACATTTCGAGAAGAAACAAACATAAATTGGGCAACAGCCTACATCAGAGTCGTACCAGCTCCATATATAACAATTTAGTTTTTATTGTAACTATTTGTTATTGTGGCCTCTCCAGCTGTGCCGGGAAGTCAACTATAACTGGGTTACGAATTCTGAGTAGATTTCCTCTCCGAATAATCTGAATAATGCTGCTGGTGTCGGGGGTGGCATTTCTCGCTCTCTCGTTCCCAGTGATATCGGATCTATTTAAATGTGATTGATTACGTTTCAAGTCATTGATGTACTAAAGTGAAATTTTGAAGTAATTTTATGGCTCGTCATAAATTCCTCGACTGCTCCGGAGTCTCATATCCTGTTGGGTCGTGAGCCGTAAAAAATCTTTGCAAACTCGACTCTCCTTTTGCACCCTGTTCCTAAGCCGAGCAAGAGAGGCAGTCATTGGGGGCAGTTGGAAGAGTTCCAGTCTCAAGCGTGTTTGTGTGCCATCAATAACAATAAAAATAATGTTTCGGTCCAAGAAAATGACGCGAAGTGAGAATGAGTCGTCATCAAGCTTGAAAGTTGGTGCGGCATCACAACATGAAATAATAATTGACTTTCGTTCTACTCCTGCTATTAAGAGGAGGAGAGTGTAATTTAAACATTGTTTGTGGGACTGCAATTGTACTTGCTCACTGGGTGGAAATTGGTGATCAGATTGGTGATCAGATACGAAAATTTATGTTTAATCGGAATCATTGAATATTGCAAGAGTGCAACAATTTGTTGCTCTCGTTCATTGTTGAGAAGCAAAATGGTGTTAACAAACTTATGCAACTTTTCCCTACGGTGGTGATCAGATACTAAATAGTTAGTGAATCACCCTACTTTCAAAATGTGACATGCACTCGGTGCTAAATAAGTTGCACGTAATCACTGGCTCAAATTATTGACACGTTATTGTCAACAAGTTTTCCGAACCTGCTGAATAGATACAAACGACGACTTGGTTTACATGCGAAACCATGGAATGACCGTTCAATAATTCGGCATCAAAGACGCTCTTTCACTCTCTATGTCGGTGTGGCATGATGAGACGTGATGGAAGCTGCACCAGTACTGAAATCTGCGTTAACTAATAATCCCCTGCATTGGGCGAAGGTTGTGGTGGTGGTGAGTTTGGGAAAATTCTCCACTACATCAGAGCCGACAAGTTTTTCTTCTCGTGATGGCAGTGCTGGGCTCATCCGATTAGCCGATGAGCGTCTTTGGATTCTAATGTGTGTATAAACAAAGGCGGAGATGATGGGTGAAAACGAGGGATAAACGAAGAACGGAAATTGTGTTAAACGAGGAGCGAAATGGCAGCCGTGGCAGCAGGAATTTATGGGATGACTGATGACCCTTTCGGAATAGGGAAAAATCAAAGGCACTACGCAGAACGGTTCCATCACCACCATTCTTCCTCTGACAAACAAGGAGAAAAAGAAAATCTGTGAGTTCAACACACATTAGAGGGCGAATTTTGGTCTAAATTCTTGTGATCGTATTATTAAATATTGCTGAGAGTCGTTGCCGTTTGTCCATGTCCTCTTCTCTTTTACCCAAAGTATTAAGTCGCCATGATGGTGCTATTTACTGTGCTGATGACTCTGTGGTTGGTGCTTATTAGACAATTTCCCAAAAGTGGGGGAATTAGGTTTCCTCCTCCTCCGTACGACCAACTTTGGTCTCATTTTATTCCACTTCCCTTCACGAACGATGCCTCCTGGACATGCTAAATTGTTCCTGGAAAAACTTATACGTTCTTGGGAGTGGTCTTAATCCAACTTTTTTTACGCTTTTTCCTCTTCCAACTACAAATATACTTTCTGCATTTCGTTGTAACATTCGTTATTACTTTAGCATGTGGCTCATGATTGGTTTCGTTGGTTGGTTGGTGTCTCACCTCTCGTGGCGTTAATGACGCACATAAAACATTTATTGAACTTGCAGTAGAATTTGTTTTTGTGACAACTTAAAAAAACTTATGAATGACAAATTCGAGAAAAGAAAACGATTTTCGTTAGAATCTTAGAAGATTTGGAGTGAAAAAGGATCGTTTTTATTGCGCATAAATAAACTACAGGGTTTGCTTACGTGCAACATCGTTCAGGGAGAAACTACTCGGAAAACCGTTGAGTTGGAAAGTATTTGACATTACTTTGTCTGACGCAACGTCGAAATGAATAAATTTCCTTAGAAATCCTGATAATTAAAGTAACCAAATGAAAGCTGCCTACTTATGCATTTGGGTCGATGGTATTTAATTACCTTGATTAAATTCTCAAGAATTAGCAACACAATCTCGACGTCCTTTTGGATGTAATCTTTAATTTATGGCGGACTCATTTTCCGCCATCTCCTAATTTATTCAATTATCTGTCGCGATTGGCTTTTAATACAATTTTAACATGACTAACAGTAGAATTAGTAATGTAATGTACTAAATAAGCATGATATGTAGCATGAATTAACAATACGCTATAATAATGATTATTAATCCTGTAATAACTATGAACTATATGTTGTACTGCATTTTTTGTGTCCACGTTTATTTCCCCAAAGAATATCCACAAAGAAACCGCAGTTCAGTTCTGTACTTTCGGTGTATTTTACCTTAAAATTTGTACATAACAGCAAATTAACCACACTTTTTGGTTGCCGCATGACTTTCGCAAGTTTTATAGAAATTTATTGCTTTTGGTGTTTCCCGTGGAGCTCAGCAAGCAAATCCTCGAGTGTAAATGAGAACAGGTTGTATCCATCATGAATGTGTAACTTACAAGTTTTTTTGTATCCAAATGCTGCTTAAGGAAAGGAGAGCAGACAAGGTACATTAATCACCATTATATTCTACCCACTTTCACCATTTGAAGTAATTAAGTAGCTATTCCCCATCAATTCATTCCCCCAAATCAATATTTGCCCATTTTGTGTATATGTATGTATGTACTCTTTTTTAGCTCATACTAGAAAAAAACTCGTTCATAAAACCATTCATTCTACTTGCCTACAAAACAAAAAAAAAACCTCTCCAAGTTTTTGCAAAATTTCAGTTCAGTGTGCACTAGACGAAGGAAAAGGATCATTTGGGAATCTACAAAAATGCAATTATGTGCTAGAAAGACGTGGGGGTTGTTTGGGTGGCTATACATTTATTCATGATGTAAACACAAATAATTTCCCCATTCATAATTCAAAAAGCAATCTTGTGGAGAACACGGTCTGAAACAATCTGGTAAAATGTTCGAGTCACGAAAATACCGCAATACGACCGCCACCAAAATAATATGATTTAATTTGGTCTTTTATTGTGTGGATTTCAAACAACCTCAGACATGAGGAGAATCATGAGAAAATACGAAATCTTGCTTCATTCACATAGTAAATATCATCATAAACTTTGGTTTGCAAAAGTTTTCTCTAAGAATTAGTTGCTCCCTGGTTGAAGGGGAGGAATATTTTTGACATAAATATGTCAAACTGTAGATTTTACGAAGAAATTCCATCCTTATTAACATGCTGTTTGACAACGTTCCAAATATTTACATGTGTACTCATAATTTCCCTTTTTAATTCATGGCAAGATTTTGAAGCAGTCTTGTATGGACTTGTATTTTGGTTTAAGCTTCTAGTAAGCTTGTAGAGAGCTGAAATCAATATATTTATAGCCGGTAGCAGGTAGTCAGTTTATGACAGTTTAGAGACGTGCGCCTTCTTTTATACCGATTTTATAAGTTTTTAGCTAAATTATAAACCAAAGTTTTTAAAAATTCCAGTAATAATTTTTCCAAGAGTGATGACTATCAAGAACACTTTTATTAGAGATGTTCCCTTCAAATTAAATCCTAATTTCTTGCTCAAGGCGTAATTTTATATACCTTTCTCCTTTTGAGCGAGCTCCAAAATTGACCTCCAATATTATTCATATAGCGTCTCACATTCATCAAACCGTCATTTTCAACCACACCAGAAAAAATTCTGTTCGACCTCTGACTTTTCATTATTCAAACGCCAGTCCTTCTACTCTAGGAGCAATTAACGCTCATTTCAGCCTAGAAGTTTTATACATAGTAATTAATGTCGTAATTAGCGGCGTTCCATCCGGCTTTATTTACCACTACAAGGAAAGGAATCTCATTAAGAGAGATAAAATAAAGTGATGGGCCGCCCACCCAAACAACAAATCGGCTCAACCCCATACAAAAAGCCGGTTTGGCTGATAGCACCAAACAAATAAATCACACAAACTAGTCGTAGTCCACTAAAGTGTAAGAAGTCGCCGAGGAAAAAAGAATCTGGTAGGAAAAGTTTACATCCTTTTTGCTCTGCTTCAGTGAACCTTGAGACTTTGTCGTCTTGGTCTTGGTCTTGGAAAGCAGAAGAAAAATTATCGCAAGCTGCTTTGCTACGCAGGTGATGTCATGTTTACATTCCAACAGTGACAACAAACAGTACATACACAAACAATCCCTCGCTTGTTGTTTGGATTTCCTTCACTGGATCAAATTAATCCTATTGACGTGTAGAGGAGGTTAAGTTAACAGGGAGACGTTGTAATATCTCCCTCTCACTGTTCCTGGTGTGTCTCTGTTGGTGTATCAATATCTCGTTTTTTCAGCCCCTCAGCCAATTAATCACTCTCCGAGAGTTCAATTGATTCATTGATTCAATTGATTCATTCACGCTGAAACATAACGAATTGCAACAGTGATGTCAGACAACAGTTAGAAAATGGCAATTTCTCTCGAGTCGTTATACTTATGTAGACGTGATTTTTTGCACATAAATTTCTCATTTTTTGTGTCATACTACAACTCGCTCCTGGTCTGCCGCACACTGCACCGCATACTGTTAGCTAAATGAGAGAGACGATGGAGGCAGAGATAAGACGAGATAAAGAGGAGTTGAGCATATCTCCGTACATGTGGGACACGTATTTAAATGTTAATATCGTGAAGGATGATTTGCTTGCGTCTCACCAATCTATAAATAACTCTGGAGAGAGAGGAGCGAGTGAGTTCTATTGTAATTTTCTTTGGTGGAAACAATAACACAATTCTGCCTCTCACTCACTCACTCACTCACTTTACTAGACGTGCTACTAGATGATGTGTTTTATGTTATGATGATGCAGGTTTTGAAGAATAAGTGAACCTTCAAAGGAAGGTATTTAGCCGGTTTCCACGCGCCGTCATCACATCACAGAGCAGAAGTAACAGCACGAGAGTAGTATCAGCTTGGTTGGTTGGCTGGCTAGCGGAGAGAAGATTCACATCCCGAGGTTCATAAAAGCATCCAACAGCATGAAGTTGCGGAATCGATGGATGGCATGGTTGGTATTTTTGCGAGTGGTTAGAGTCGGGTATGTGGGGCAGTCACAGCCGCACTGCAGATGAACTTCAGAGGGAAAAGGGCTGCTTTGGAGACTAGCGCCGCTTATACTTTCTCCCCACTTTCTCCCAACAGCCACATGCAACCCTCCTCTCACTCTCGCTAGCTAGCTCTAACTCTGGCAAGGAAACGGAATGCAAGTGCGAGGAGGAGGCAAAAGTATTATTATTGCGAGGAGTGGAAGACTACGTAGGGACGATGAGATGCTTGGTTGGCTGCTGGTTCCTGCTGCATTCTTCATATCCTCTTCGTCTTCTCTTCCTCCTCTCTGCCAACAAGCAGCAGGGCTCCTTTTCCAGGAGAGAAAAAGAGAAAGCAACAGCAACCGTGGAGAGAAACAAAGAGGAGACGACGACCGTTTCTTGAGCTGCTGCTTCTTCATTGTTGTTGGTGTGCACAAACCCTGTGGTGATGGGCATGCAATTTTTAGTAGGAGTTGGAAGAGTCGTGCTCAAAAATTGGAATTGAACATTACCTCGTGAACTAAGTCATCCTGTCGGTGGAGAAGGCATACAGTTTAGACTTTCATTTCATTGTGTTTCCTGGTGGAATACTTGCGAGAGGAAATATAATATTCACTGTAAAAATACCTCACGGTTTTCCTTAAGGGAAAAAAGGCTGTTTTTATATTCAGAGGAGGAGGAGGAGGGAGATAAGCAGCAGTTGGAATGGTGGTCTCATGTAAAGCGAGCAAATTCGAGGCCATGATGAAATATTTTACTGCAAAAGTTCAACTTTGACCTGCTCAATTTACTCGGGCTCGTAAATTCCTAACCAAGTTCCAATTAAACTTTCAGATAAGTAGGGAATTGCTTCCTTAATTTGGAAAATATTATCTCACTCGGCATCTGCATGAGGCGCACGCGGCGGGTTAACAATTTTTAGAATAATTGTTTCAAACAGTATGGAAATTCTGGAGAGGAGAAAGTTTTATCTGTTTAGAGGCCACAGAGAGAGAAGAGTTTCGAGGAGCAGGAATCAACTATGCATTCATACGAAAGTTTATACTTTCCTCGTATGAATATAAAATTGAAACCCTGAGTTGTTAGAGATTAGAGGTTCTAGAAACCAGCAGAAAAGAGAGAAAGAGACTTTGAGTTGTGTAGTAAGTTTGAATCCGTGATTTGTAGATGATGCTTGGACTGATACGAGATTACAAAACTTGAGGTAGGAGATCTTGTGGTTGGAAAATTCAAAAAAAATATCTACTCCCTGGCACCACGTCCTTATCCCAGTTTCAAATAATAATCCTTTCTGAATCCGAAATCTTCCCTGAAAGCTTTCACGTACATTTGTATTGTATTCTTAAATCTATACATATTTCATACTCTGGCTGGATAAGGACTTGTTTCTTCCACCATTCTCAAATAAACAAGTGCACGAGCTGGTTCGTACTTATTTACGATTTCTATGTGTACGCAAAGAGATAAAATCTTTTCCGTATCTAGATTAAAATTTGTTTACATTCGGGGAAAACCGTATTCAAATTTCCACTAGATTTAACAAGCGCTTCTCCTCCTCCTCCTCCTTCAATTTAATTATAGGGTAGAAACCCTCCGGAATTCGCTTAGCTAGAGAGGAGAAGTGCACCAGCATAAATGAGGTAGCAGCAGTGCTTTCTCCATTCCACGTCCACACTTCATTCCGCTGATGGTTCCTTTATTAAGAAGAGGAAGTCTCCGACATAAAGCAAATTGGACATTGAAGGAAGTAGAAAAGGGGCCGATAGTTGGTGAAGGAATTGATTTTATATCCCGTCATAAATAAACCGGAAAGTTTTTTCAACTCCTCCCCACAAAGCAGTTCGAGCAGCTCCTGGCGCCACCGTTAGGCCCGAACTCTCAACTTTCTCCCAAACCAGGAGGGTTTTTCGGTGAGAAAGTTTCCCCAACAATTCTAGATCTCGTCCCGGTCGACTTTTGCTCACGAGAACAAACTCGTACTTGCGTATTGCATTGGACTGACGCATTGGTTTGAGGGTAAGAATCCGCAGAGGTTTTTCTTCTCTGCTCACAAGTTCCGCAGACACGGGTGCTGCTACACTCTCGCCATTCTGCTCGTAGCCCAGACGTGCTTTCTCCTGGCACCAGATCGGATCAATGCAAAGCACATTTGGTCTCTCCGTTTCTGGATGTTCTTGCTGGAGTCTCAAGGAGAAAGTGGAAATGCTCTGAGCGATTGAAACTTTTTTCCTGCTCGGCTCTCTCTCTCACCAGCAAGATTAGTGGGATACTCCCACAGTCTTTCGCTCCTACTCTGCTGGTCGACATAATAAATATAAATGTTTGGATAAAGACGAGTAACCTTTTAGAAGAATGGATAGGTGACCAAGTAATTGGGGCTGGTAGGAAATTTTTCCTACTTTTTTCCCAAATCAGAGTCTCACGACGCATCATCCGGATTAGCTTAAATTTTAGATGCGTGTTTTTTAAACCAG